GAGAGAGAGAGAGAGAGAGAGAGAGAGAGAGAGAGAGAGAGAGAGAGAGAGAGAGAGAGAGAGAGAGAGATGCTGTTTTCAATGGTAATCAGAGTTTGTTCCTAGCCACAAAAGTCATCTTGCACTCTTGTGATTTGGTGAGTAGATCTGAGTTATTCATCATCCTTTGGATTGCTAGTACATTCTTGCTGCGGCGTCTTTGGTGGTAGTCAGGGGTCTCAATCCACCAGTGCCCTCTATTGGATCGAAAAGGCTGATCGCACATCCGGAAAAAGGAGCTCGGTGTAGCGGTGGTTACATGTTGTGCTGTTCAGCCATCTTGCAATCTTGTTGCTTGGTGAGTAGATCTGAGTTATCCATCATCCCCAATATGTTCCCTCTGGATTGCTAGTTTGTTCTTGCTCTGGCGTTTTTTGGTGGTAGTGAGGGGTCTCAAAGCACTACCTTCTTCTCCCGAACATAACGCGTATGTGTTGTATTCGAGTATTCAAATTTGAAACAAAAATCGAATAGAAAGCATATGCGTTGTATTCGAAATTTAAGGTTATTTGAATAGACCGCATATGCGTTGTATTCGAATAGAACACACCCTATGTGTTGTATTTGTTTACAACGCGTATGCATTATGTTCGGGGGAAGAATGTCGTAACCGAGCCCGGTGCCTACCTTCCAGTTAACCCCGTGCCGTGGAAAAGTTGGGCCTACCGGATCGGAAAGGCTGGCGGCCCCCTTCAGGCCCTTGTGTGTCACAGTTCTGGTGCCGTGGAAGAGTTGGGCCTACCGGATCGGAAACGCTAGCGGCGCCTGTCACAGTTCTGAAATTTAGGGGTGGGGGAGGAAATCATGCATCCGAAAGCTCGGAGGAACTGGTGGTTAAAACGTTAAACGTTGTTCTGGTCGGCTTAACATTCATGTGCTGTGTCGTCTGAACTGCCGGAGTGGAGAAAGTCGGGGAATTTCGATTCTGAGTCTCTCTCTTTGGCAACTTCTACAACTGTGAACGCCTAGCTGGCAGCCAGGGATCACTGCGGCGCTAATAATGGTGATGCCACTCTTCATTTTATTTATTTTTTCATGGCTGAGCTAGTGATACCGATGCCAGTCTTCATTTTTCTTTCGTTGTTGATGCTTTCCTTTTCCCTTTTCTGTTTGCCCTGGCCATTTCTACTCAGTTGCAGGCCGAAAGTGAGTTTACAAGTGACCGGCTGGCATATGAAGTTAATTGTTTCCGAAAGGTAGCCGGGCATGAGAATGTCCTACACTTGGAGGGAGCATATGAAGATGAAGAATTCTATTATATCGTAATGGAGTAAGTTGCCACAAAAATGTGCTTTTGGAATTGAAGACTTGAAGTTATGTGGTTTGTATATATTTTTAATTTTCTCAAATTTGCTGGGTGATTTCCCCACTTTCAGTCAAGATTCCATTGCTTGAGCTGTGGCAGCAGAACTCTTTTTCAGATTTTCGGTTTGGATGGTTCACGTGTCCAGAAACAGGAAAGCACAAAGAGTTCCGCTTTCTTGAGCACAACTGGGAATCAATAGATGATGACGTATGACGTTTTGTATTTATTCAGATTATTCTCTGTTTTGCAAGCTAAAAACGTACAATGCAATGCTGAGTTCCTTATGGCTCTTGTTAAGTAGCGGATTTCTGTCTTCTGATATGGAGTACCAGATTTTCCCCAAATTAGCAGGCTCTCCCTTGTAATGAGTTCCTGCTTTCTAATCCCGGAAACCCAAGGTGTTGGACGTGTGTGATGTGGCGTGCATACTTGCGGCGTATTGGGGTGTGCGCCTCAGCGCACGTCTTGCGCACCTCGCGCACCACACCCGATGCGACGGCCAAAAAAAACAAAAAAAAGGGTGCTGCCCCCCAAAAAAAAATGTGCAAGGGGTCATGGAACACCTGAACACAACACACCATTATTATTACACAGAGAGAGCGAGAGATGGAGCGGCCACCTCACATCTTGTAGGCGCCCTCATCATTACTGTATTTGACCCAAATCATCACTAGTATAGACTCCAATGTATGCAGGTGACGATTTGGGTAAGATACGGTCGTGATGAGGGTGTCCACAACGGTTACTGTTTGAGGATTGACCGTTCTCTCTCTCTCTCTCTCTCTCTCTCTCTCTCTCTCTCTCTCTCTCTCTCTCTCTCTCTCTCTCTC